TTTGGGCGATTATCATTGAGTGCCTGCCGATATTTTGGCGAAGTATTTCGTTTCCAGCACATATACTTCAGGAATAAAGTCCACTGGACAGCAAACATGGCACTTTTTGTGAAATGCACCTTATGCCGGGGCTGCTGGGGGTCGGGAGCACTTCGGCGTAAACTCCTCATCAATAATGCCTACTCTGTAAATTGAAAAGTGACTCGTGTCACCAATTTTTGGAAACAGAAAGCTGAAAAGGAAATCAGTTTGTTATCTTCCTGGCAACCCATGTGCCAAAAAGTGGCATCTTATACTGAGATGTCACCTTACCTAAGGAATGATCACTGGCTATGAGAAAAGTACTCTCGTTATTCATAGACATTGTCAAAAAAGGACCGGACATGACCTTTCTTTGAGTGTTCTTTCTTTTCTTTTTTTAGAATTATTCGGTAATTTAGAAGCTCAGCGCCTGCAATACTCTGGGTAGGCCATCCCGCCGTACACGCATGCACTGCAGGCAAGATGTTGCCTACCCATCAGGCGCTATAAGAGCCTGCATTTGCTAAACCCGGCAATTTTTATAACGGCAGATGACGGACGTATTGTCTGGAATAAGGGCGACAATTTAAATTAAAGGACGAGTGTATAAACTCAGCAAAACAAAAATAATTTCACGTCTCTATTGAATTTTCATGTTTACGTGGTTTAAGACTGAAAGTCTTTAAATCGATTTATAGAAGCCCTTAGTATTCCACGAGCTCCTATTCCGATAGCGAAAGACCCCGTGGCTGTCGCCAGGTGGACGAGCTCGAGCGCGAGAAGAAGCTGATCCTGGACGGGCGCATGTCCCTGGACGAGGCCCCGAAGGAGCTCGTCGACCACCCCGTCTTCCAGATCTCCCAGTTCATCAAAAACGTGCTCCTCGGTGGAAAGGTGTGATTATTGTTGTATACACATTTTTCTTTTTAAAAAAATACCTCTCTTTTTGTGTTGTTTTTTTTTTCCCTCAACGACTTTCTTTGTGTTTGTTCGTCCTTCATCGCACGCTTCGCCACCCCGCGCCCCTCTGCCCCCCCCCCCCTTCATTACCCTGCAACTAACTTTGCTCATCTGCCGGGATTACAGGCCACGCCGCCTAACTTCCGCCCGGTACCTGGGAGGGACTTGAAAAGTGTGCGAAATGGCAAAAAAAGAGGAAGATAATGATAAAGATGGGAGTAAAAAAAAAAAATGACTGAATGCGCGATACGAACCGGCCGGCCAGGTGGTGGGCGTCTGCTGACGTCGGCGATACCACTACTTCATCTTTTACTAGGGCTCAGCACCAGGCGTATTATTCGGTCATGCACCGCCTTTCGGAAGTTATGGCTTTTATACTGAAACGGGGGGTGGCGGGCGTCTCTTGGACGGCGCGGCGAAGTGTGGTGTCGCTGCGGGGGCGTGGTGGCCTCCGGAGGCGGTTCGGGAGGCGGATGACGTCAGCCGGACCACCGCGCCGCCACCGACGCCGTGCGCTATTAGTTGTGCCGATTGTGCAACAAACAAAAGAGCAGAGTGCGGGGGACTTTCTCTATTACTTCCATCCCCGCTTCGCCCATTCAACAGGCGGCGAGGCGTCACCGCCCTTGCCCCGACCTTGCGCCCTTCACCGCACTTGTCCGGCCCGCGCGAGAATGGGAAGATAGTGCTATATGGACCACGCGCGGCCGCCAACGCACGCGGAAAATGCGATTAACATTTGCATTTCCCGCCCACGCAGGCCGAATAATCATCCAATAATTGTGCAAAGTTAACCCACACTGCGCACTGCACTGCTGAATGACGCACGCGCTTTGCAGATCCCCTGGTACCTGCAGGCGGCTCGCAACCACGTCCATCCCGCACGCCTGCATGAAGTGAGTAGTGTAGCCCAAACCAAACAAAACAGATTCAGCAATGTTCGTGTTTAGAAACGTGTCTATGTGCGCGGACATGCATGCGCTGTCACAATGTGTATTTGCCTTTTTTGAAACTGTCTTTATTATTTGATCTACGCCGCGTTTACGGCTTGAAATTGTATTTACACCCAGAAAAATGATTTCTTGTTTCAAGTACATTTGTACTTGTGTGACCCAAGATTATTTTTTTTCTTGCTACCAAGACGATTTTTTTCTATGAAGTAAGAAAATTTACTTGATCGAAAGGTAATATCATCTTGTGTCGAGAGTAAAATTGACCTTAGGTCAAAATGTACTTGAAATAAGAAAACATTTTTCTGGGTGGTGTATGAGACCGATTCCTAAACGTTACCTGGGTGTTGGCGGCAGATGGCGTCCAGCGTGTCGCACAGCACTTCCTCGCGGGCCATCCTCACCTTGTCGAGGAGCTGCGTGGCGTCCGAGGACGGCGGCGAGAGGGCCGCGGCCACGCCCACGACCCTGGCGGCGGCTGCGGGGCCCGTGGCCTCCGCCACCGTGTCCACCTCCTCGCGGCTGGCCTCCCCCAGGGCCAACTCCCCGAGAGACGCCTCACCCCGAGACGGACAGAGCGAGGCCGGCGCGGCGGCGGAGGGCACCGAGGCCGGCGGCGAGGAGGGTGGCACCGCCCAGGAAGGCGAGGCCGAGGAGGACGCCGACGTGCAGGAAGGGGTGGTCGAGTCCCCGGAGCCCGCGACAGACACCCAAGTGAGAGGGAACAACGTCACGTTCGCGCGTTACGCAGGCCCGACTTGATCCTCACGCGGCGGTGGTCATCACCATCCTCTCTGTCTTGCAGGACGGCGAGGTGGTCATCCAGGTGCAGGAGAACGACGACGACGAGGAGGAGGAGGGCGATGAGGAAGAGGAGGACATGTCCGGCATGTCCGCCTGCGACTTCGAGGAAGACTTTGACAGACAGGCCGACGTCGAGCGGGGTTACATGTTCACGCAAGAGGACTTCGACCGCATCAAGTTCGAGGCCGAGAGTGTCAAAAAGATGTGGGAGCTCGAGGTACTGCGACCTAAAATTATTCTGTAAAATTAAGCAACAAATCGAATGCGAATGGTCTGATACAATTTTCTGCCTCCAGACAGTGGAGGAACTGTACGCGCTCGCCGAGTCCATCGTCAAGGAGATGGTGGCCCAGGGCGGGGGCGCGGTGCCGGCGCCGGCCAAACCCGAGGACCGCACCCCGTCGCCGGCGAGGTCGACCAAGTCACCGCCGCCGGGTTGAGCTCCGGCCGTGGTCGGGGCAGAAGAGTGGGCGAGGGAGATACAGTGGGGGACCCGAACGGTTGTGCATCAAAATGTGTTGTTTTTTCTACGACGTCCTAATTTAATGTTATAATTATCTGAAAATAAAAATTCTTAATAGCACCGCGTAGCGTGGGGTGACTCCCTTCCGCCTGATCATCTCCTTCGCCCACCTCTCTATCCACCCTCTTACTCATCTCTCTCTCTCTCTCTCTCACTCGTGCCATTCATCACTATTGTGCGTTTAATAGGTCAGCCCGGCGGGGTCCCAAGTCGACCGCCCCTTTGGGGTCCCACACATCGACGCACGCAACACACACGTAGGTCACCGGGGCAGCTGGGCTCAGGTCAGGAGCGTGTCGAGGGCTGCCGCAGGCCCCTTGGGGGAGGTTGGGGGAGGGTGCTCTGCTGGCTCACCCGGTGAGGACACACGACCCACGGTCGTCGTGCAACGTTTGCAAATTTTCGAATCCGTTACATTATCATCTAGCGCACTCTGTTCGGATTAAAATTACACCTGTTGAATTGAATTACTGAATTCAC